CAAAAGCATATGGAAGTGATTATTGATAAATCAAAATAAATTAATTAAAAAAAAAAGAATATCCGTCATATTGGGCAGACTCTTAAGGAGTCTGAATGTTGGTGTAAGGGACAAGGTATCATGCTCCCACAATTTAAGATAACCTCTGACATCTTACAACATCAGCAAAGAAGTTACGTTGTTTTAACAAGCTTGCAAAACCTTGAAAAGGCAAGCCAATGAGAAGGGCCCTAATCTTTTAATAGACTCCAAAGTTCTAGAGGACAGAAACGTTTTTAACTAGCCCTAAGTAGAACAAAGGCTTTTGGATGACTGGGGATGGGGGAAGAAGGGCATGTCAAGAGGACATGGGATGGGTGGTTGCGTAAGACTGTAACCTGGAAAGGAAAGGACCAATCCAGGCCTGGAAAGAAGGAGTCTCGGTGTTCTAACAGTATAAAGCTGTCTCTCACTTCTGTATTGGGCACAATCTCTTCCGAGAGGTTTGTCCTGTTCTCCAGCAAGAACCGAAAATAAAGGATTCTTCACTCACTCCAAGCTTAGTTGTTTTTAACTAGAAGACTTGATTTCTCTAAGGCCTTATTTCTAACATTAGTGAGCTATTGGCTAGATTTTAAGAATCTAAACCCATGGCCAGATTATAAGAATCTAAGCATTTTAATGGAGACAAAGTGGACCTTATATACAGAAAGACTGTAGGAGGGACCCAGGAGTGGCCTGGGGTGATTGAAGAAGGGGTCTAAGGAAGATCTGAATGGGAGTGGCCAGTAAACTGGGGTGAACAGAATACCTGGGACCTGAACCTTGTGGCCAAAGGAGAATGGAGCCTAGCTAGGATTAAGGGTGGGAAATGGTCAGGGGCCATAGGGAGGTAACAGAATTGGGAGATTGGGTGTAGCCACAATGAAAGGCCAGTTGATGGGATTATAGCCTCAGGTAAAAACCAGATATTTGGCCAAGTGGGAAAGTCCAGGGTTTTTCCTTTTTGGAGTCTCGCTCCCCTCCTCATCAGTATGACATAGGAGACACTGGCACAGGACCGCTCAGCATTCCATGCCCACTTCAGAAAAGGTGCCGTGTTCTAAGAGCTAAGCAGAATTGAGGTAGCTCAAGAGAAACACAAGATACACAAACTTAGAGAATCCACCCCAAAGGTTCACACAGACTATTTGTGCCCGACCTGTGGTAGAACATTCTGAGCTCATATTGGTCTGATCAGCCACAGTCGACACACTTAAACTTGACTCTGGCATAGAGTTGTCATTTCGGTCCTC